TTGAACGTTTCTTTTTTTATATTACCTTTAGAATTATCCATAAAGTGTCAAAGTATTTGCCGTCAGCATAAGATGTCTGGGGCCAGCACTTATTACTATAATGGGCAATAACCTGTACATTTTGTTGAAGATTCAGAACGAAGAAAGTGTAATCCTGTTCCTGGTCGTGTGGACTGTGACAGAGATTACCAGATATTCTTATTACACATTCAACCTGCTCCACCATCTGCCGTACTTCATCAAATGGGCCAGGTGGAGACACCGTCTCTAACGATTTAATATTGTGGTGCTGCATACTTTTTGCAAGCATGCTAGTCTGGTCTGGTAATGGTACATTCGTGTGTGTATTACTCATCAACTGACTCTCGCAAAGAAGTAATGAATGTGTTTGTTATTGCATTTTGTTTACAGCAGTTATCCATCACTTGGGAGCTAACTGCTCACATTGTACAGAAGAAATAACCTGCATGTGTTTTAAATTGACTATTTGTCAACTTTGGACGTTTGCATCCCTAACTATCAACAGGTTACAACCTAAAAATGTAGGAATGCTTCCAGTTGTAGAGGGAAGTCATGCTATCCTTCCGATGTCTGTGATCACTCGTGACGAGGTGATCCGCGCTCACAGTGGCTCACCTGAAACCAGAGACGTCTGAGGGAACATCAGACGCAGACATTAGTGTTTTGACACTGATAGCAGTCCAAGCACACATGTCTTATAGAACAGAGAGAGCCATCAGTCATCTGGAATAACAGCCCACCAAACACTTTCATATGACTTGAACCTTTCCACATTTTATCATGTCACAGCCACAAACTTTCATGTATTTTATTAAGATTTTATATGGCAGACCAGTAGAAATTAGCATAGCATAGCATGACTTAGCTGTGAGAACGGTAAAGACTCAGAGGTCTTTTAGGGATGTATTTTCCATCACCCTCATCTTTAGCTCCTCCCCTCAGATTCTACATCAGATTCCAGTCAAAACTCCAAAACGTTAACTTTACTTCCAGTCAGCAGAAACTTCCTGATAAAATTAAAAGATTGCTTTAAACCTAAATCTGCTAGGGCATAATTTATGGCCTAACTGAAGACTTGTAGCTGTATTTGCGGGAAAAGGTGGTTGGATCTACAGAACATCGTTTTAGAAGGGCTGAAATATAAATATGCATAATTTTTCTTTCATTTCACGGTTATGCACTACTTTGTGCTGAAAGGCACTGTGTGTACAACTCACTACCACAGAGAGACGTTGCTCTTTGTGACACCCTCTGAAGTCGCACCTACAGGGACCATCTACTTTATGGGGGCTTTTTTCTCCCTTTTACTCGGTCTCTGGTCTTGATTCTCTCTCTCTCCCCTGCTCTTCACGTCTTTCTTCAAGCGTGGAAGAGCCAGGCCCCCGGAGAAGGGCTCATGTTCAGCTGCTCCTGTTTTTAAGACCGTCTGTTTTGGTCATGGAATGTTCAGCCGACGTTTCTCTCACATCCGCAGAGACGCTCCCCTGAGTCTTTCTGCTGTCTCCACTAATCTCCACTGTCCTGGATCGTGCCATGGTATACTACAATACAGTGAAGCACGGACTTTGGTCTGGATGTATGTATATAGTGACAGGACAGAAAACATCATGTTCCTATCCATCTGAGTTTTGCAAACCACCAGTAATGTCTCCATATTTTGCTTTCAAGGAACCCAAGGGCATTGTGGGGCTGTAGAGTTTTCTAGGTTTTCTAGAGGTCATTTAAAGTTCTTTGCTTTCCTCACCATTGAAGAATATTGAGCAGCCTTTTCTTAAAAAAATAAGAAAAACTATTTTTTTAAAACTATGCCTGTATATTTAGGTTCGTTGTCCTTCTTCCAGAACTGCGTTTTTAGCTTCTTGACATCTAATTCAATCAGTTCCCCTGTCTATGCCAAGGAAAATACTTCCTTCGCAATTCTGCTGAGTTTAGTGCAGTGTTTCACTTTCTGCCACTTTCATCATTTTACATGTAGGCCATAAGGTTCAATAATGGTCTCCCCTGACAAAATCACCTTTGTTGTCCAAAATTTAAACTTTTATTAGAACCTCAGATGGCTTTATTCTTGCTACCTTTCCCTAAAGACCAGATATGTTGAGTTTACAAGGGTGTTGCTTCTAGTTCACAATTGAGTGCAAGTTCAAGGGGTCTGAATACCTTGCCTAAAAGTGATCTTTACACCCAACACATGAATCAGCTTTCAGTTGAAATTCTTCTGTAATACAAGTTTCAAGCTGATGGCTCTTTGGAGGCTGCCTGGTATACATTTTATTCATCGCAAAGTAGACATATTTGGTGCTTTTCACCAGTGTCGCTAAAAAGATTTGGATAAATAGTGACACTGTGACAGGCTGAGGGGGAAAAAAAGGAAATAAAGAAAGTTTAACGGACATTTCATAACATCAAGCCCCTCATTTTCAGCTCAGCAGTGCCAAACTATTGATTCGCAACAACAGTTTTAATAGTGCTTTGTGTAAATTCAAGTGTCACTATGTTAAATACTCAAAGTGCATCCAGTCATGGTGCGGTTATTGTTGTGAACTGTTGTCTGAGGTCGAATTACAGCCACAGTCTGATCCAGTGGCTTGAGTTGCTATAAAACAGTGCCAAACCAAATCTCTGTCCTGCAGCTTCCTGTTGAGCTGCTGGTCAGCTCATGTGGGGCACAAATTATATTTATTACACTCTAAAACAGATCAACTTGCCAGCTTTTTTATCACTGCTGACCTGGCATGCTGATAAGCATCACACCAACAATCAAACCTTGGTTATATTTACTTTAGTTGCTGAACTTCTACTGTTGTCTCATATGACATTTTCCGTCTAAATGCATACAATAATGTCTAATGACTGAAAGGTGTGATTCACAATGTGTTTGTTTGAATTTGCTGGAACTTCACAGCCACAGGACAAACACTAAGGAAAACAAGTAATTTTTTCAGCTGTTCCACAAAACACATCCGTTTATTGGACAAGTTTGGTTAAATGTAGTTAAAATGTTAAAATTTGCATTTCTTTTCATGAAGCTGTTGACCCACTTTCAGCTTTGGTGCTGGAGCGCAATGTGCCCAGAGTAACTCTAAACAGTTGGCAGAACAGTGATCAGGCAAAATTGTATGACCACTGACGGATGTAGGGAAACACACTGGCTATGTCCTCATTGTAGTACCTGTTAGAAGGTGGGATATAACAGATAAACCATTGGACACGAAGCTTGGCTAGAGCCTCTCCAAAGCTGCTGTTTCTGTGGAGTTTGCCTGGTCTGTTGGGGTCAGTGCTATCAAAAATGGTCCGAAGAAGGGACATCAGTATACAGAGAACGTGCTGATGGGTGACCCAATGTCAGTACTGTACACTGAATTGATGAACTGATGAATTAGGTTGATTGCCAAGTGTGATTGTGTCTTTACCTGGGAAATACGTGGCTGCAGAATGCATTAGTGGACAGCAAGCATGTGGAGACAGTGTGATGATGCGACTGCCAGGAAATATTAGGACCTGACATCCTTGTGGCCATTGTTGCAGATCATGTACTCACTTTCATGAATACAATATTTCCTATTGGGTCTGGCCTCTTAAACAGTACACCCCATCTTTTCACAAAGAAAAAGGCTCCAGCAAAGCTTTGAGGGGGCAAAAGAAGTTTAGGGTGTAGATTTAGGCTCTAAATTCTCCCTGTTCTCAATCTAACGGAGCTTCTGTAAAATGTCCTGAACAAACAAGTCGGATCAGTGAAGGCCTCATGTCAGACTTTGAGAACTAAAAGGATCTGCTGGGAACATTTTTGTGCCAGTTACCTCGGCACACCTTCACCAATGGAGGTCTATGCCGTCACGGCTGGGAAAAACACATTGTTACATACAGGTGGCCATAATGTCGTGGCCACCTGTATGTACCAAACAACAAGTTCTTTCAGTGCACTCTGCCAGGCCATGTATACACACAGGTCATTCCAGTTTCATACACACAGTCTCCAGTTGCCAGATCACTGACTGGACCAGATATCTTGGATCAAGGTCCTCAGCTCCAACTTCAGAGCGCTTTCTTCAATTTCATGATCCGCTGGCTGGCTTAATGCGCAGCAGGCTCAAGCACAGATAAACATCGACCGTTATTGTTCACTATTTTAGGCTCACATTTAAGTTCCTGGGTGGCATAAATTAAATGTTTTAATTATATAATTGGGTAAAGGTATTGGAATGCATGCAATTAGTGGTGAAAATGTGAAGATATATAGATTTCTCTCTTTCCAGTTCCCCCAAGTAATTAATCAATTAATCCCCATAATTACTATGGAGTGTTTTCAACTAAGTTTGACCTTCCATGCAAATGGCAAAGTAGTGACAAAATATCAGTGGCCTGTAGTTGTTTTTCTTATGACAAGTGGCTTTTAATCAAAAGGAAATTAACCTATGAAAGAAGTGATGGTGCTGCATGCGAGTTTGTTCAAGTCTTCCGTGTGCTTACCTTACTGTCTTCAACTGGATTTGCCTATAACTTAGACTGGGATTGAAAGACATCCTGCTGTTTTTCTGTTCTGCAGATACAACTTCTTCATCGTCTTGTACCCACTGGGAGTCGTCGGAGAGCTGCTCACCATTTACGCTGCTCTGCCATTCGTGCGCAGGTCTGGAATGTACTCTATGAGGCTCCCCAACAAATATAATGTGTCGTTCGACTACTACTACTTCCTCATCATCGTCATGCTGTCCTACATCCCACGTAAGGAGACATTTCCCTCTTTAAGTTTGTCAAATCTACAAAACGTGACCTAATTGAAAAATCCTCACAAAACTAAGTCTAAACTGAACAAAATGGATCCAAAGGTTGTTTTAGATTGCTCTATTGACATGTAAAGCTTCTGAAACTACTGTGTATTAGAAGCCACTGTACAACCAGTAGTGACAATAGACATCAATCAAGGGTTTCTAAATGTATTGAATTGCACTTTGTCATTACAATATCAGTGTAAAACATTCACAAGATTTGTAGAATACTCTTTGGATGAATATCTTTGCATCTTTGGTAGTTGCAAAATTTTATTTTTTCTTTGGTAGTTTGCTACCCTTATTTGTAAAAGGAAAAAAAGGGTCATGCGCTCAAACCCAGCATTTCGATAATATATTTGGCCAGTTACAAGGACTCTTGACTCTCTGAAAGTAGTAGGAACATTGTGTCGAGATACAGGGAAAATGGTAGATTTTATTCAGCAGTAGTGTCACAATTACATATTTTCCTTGCAACATTAGCATAGACAAGTTTTTCGACATACACTGCAAAAGTCTGGAATTTTATTTCAGCTTTTTCCAGGTCTGGATAAGTATGGAAGAAGACAGTAAGGAAACATCTTTGTATTTCCAAACTTTGTTTGCTGTTCCCATTGTCTAACTATTGTGTCCCTCCCTGCTTTCTTTTATTATTGTATCCTTCCCTCAATCCTTTATACTTTTCTTTACACCTCAGATTTTTTTCTTCTTTTGTTTCTCCCTTCCTTCTTCAAAGTCTTTTGTTAATTTTTTCCTTACCCTCCTCTCTTATGCATTTCCCTGTTTCCTTAATTTTTCTTCGGTCCTTAGTGTGTCAGTTCTATTTTCTCCTTTCTGTCCAACTGTCTTTCTTCCTTATGCTCTGGTTTTCCCTTGTTGTCCTTTTGTATTCCATTCAATCTCTGGTTTTTACAGGTTTCATATTTAAAGCATGCCCCTCTGTCATCCATAGTCATATTTTAAAATGGGCACAATAGATTCGTAACTCACAAGTTTAAGTGCAAATATGGCAAATGTATAGAAACCCTTATTAATGTAGTCAGCAGCTCAAAACATAGAGCACAAGATCTTGACTGGAGTGACAGCACCTCCCTCAGACAGGAAGAAGCAATTACGCTCAAGTTGAAATGATGACTCAGGGTTATTCCAAGACTATCTGTGGAAAAAAAACATTGAAACTTAATGTATTTCACAAATGGCCTTGCTTTTATTGGCAAGATGACAATGTGTGCATATTACCATAACTTAGCTTTGATATACAGTCATGAGAAAAACGCAATATATAGCCTTAAAAATATTCATGCCTTCTCTAAATTTTGACATATTTTGTCATGGTAAAAATGCAAACTTAATTGTATTCATTTGGCATTTTATGGGATTGGCCAAAATAAAGTAGTGCATAATTATGATGTTGAAGAGAAATTACCCTTATTTGTAAAAGGAAAAATAAAAGAAACAACCCTACAAAAGTTATCTCTAGTTATCTCAAATTTTAGTTTATAACTGCAGTAATATAATAACAGCAGTTCATTTGCAGTCGCTTTAGATGCAATAGATTTCAGAAGGTTCCAAAATATAAATATATTTACCAAAGAATACTTCAATCTCTTAGTTATGTGGTTCAGTGACAACATGTAACAACAGTATTCGTCTCAGCATCTCTTTTTAACTTCAGATCTGTGCATTTTAATGCTAGTTGCATTTTTAGCTAAATAAACTAAAAATGCATTCTTAAATTTCAGTGCAACCTTAACTGCAACACCATTAGCTCGACCAGGAAACTCACTGTATTTATTAGTACTGCAGTAACTCTGTTTTGTGGTTTTTGGAAAACCGATCAACAAACAGCTGAGGACTCAAAGCCTCAGCTCATGTAGACTCAGTACAAAGCAGTCGCAGATTTTTTAATCTCTTCAGTTACGACTGACATAAAGCAGAAAAGCTGTGTTCACAAGTTGCAGTGCTCACTGGGATTGCAACTGTTATCTTGCAGAGTCTGAAAAGCACCTCCTTATATGGCTCAAGAACCAGAGTTGGATCTGCTAGAGTAGAGGGTCTTCGCAACAGTTTCTGCACTTTACTTCCTAAACGGGCACTTAAATGAAGTAATTTGTTCCTTAAATCATCAAGATTTAAATTATACAGACGATCAAATGTAAGTAGTTTTGTTAGGAATGAATGACTTTTGGGATTTAAAGCTTGTCTGAAAATAACTTGTTCAGCCTACTGAACATTTGATCTAATGACCGGGTAGAAAAAGGTTGTTTGAAAAAAGTCCTGATCTCGTTTAAACTCTCTCTGACCAACACTTGTCAAAACTGATTTGTCACCAAATTTGTAGCCTAGTTTTTTTTTTTTTATCTTTTTTTTTTGCCTGCAGGTGTTACATAATCACATTGGTCAGAAATGTCCACTACCATAGATAATAAGAAACTATAATTCCTGTCTGAAGTCATTCAGTGACTGAACCAAAGCGTTAACTTAATCTATTACTTTTGAACAATTAAGTACAAGCACAGTAAATAATTAACCTGTGGAATAGCTTTGACCACATCCACTAAAGTTAATTTGAGACAGTGGATGTAAAAGTTATATTTTGCTTGGTCCTTGATTGTAGCCTCAACTCCTGCTGCGCCACCATCGGATGCCTGACAATCCAGAACCTCATTCTCAATTATTTTATTTGTGTACTTTGCATTCTGCACAAATGTCAACATTTTCATTTTTGACAGCAATTAATTCCAGAACAGTCTTAAAGTTTCCTTTGTTATCAGAGCCAAGTGAGTCGTCGTGTTCTCTCTGAGCAATGTTTTAGGTGGCAGTAAGGAGTATGCAGTCCCAGCTTTCTTTAACCTGTTGGTTGTTCCATCAAGCCTTTCAAATTTGGGTTCTCCCTGCTCTTGCTGATATCTGAGTGAAATGACATTAGAAGAAAAAATGAACTAAAAATTAACAAACATATAATATCTAGTATAGTATTTGCCTTTTGCTCAACAAACTTGTTTGTCTGTTGGTTATGCAACTTGTACCTTCTTTGCAGTCAGAATCCATCTCCCCCTGCTGCTCTGCTCTGTTTATTCCCCCACAAAATCACCCTCTTCCTGTAAAACCAGCGCCGGCAGTGCATCATTTTATTAGGTCCAACTAGAAAATGGAACCACACTTTGGTTCCACATTTCACATTTACTGAAATTGTTTTTCTTCTTCATTTTGTGCAAGTTGTTGACGGTTTTTAAAGGATTGTGGAAGATCAACTTTTTCTCTGTTTTAAACAATGTGGTGTTTCTATTGTGTTCAAATCGGAGTCTTGACAATATTGTATCTTCTCTGCTGCTCTCCCCCTCCCACCCCCACCCTCACGTCACCCACTTTCCCTTTTGTCTTATAGAACCATCTTCATTTTCTTCCCCAGTGTTTATTAGAGGAAGTTATTCCTGGAGACAGATTCTCCCACCTGAGCTGTAGATCTCTGAAGCTCATCAAATTGTCATTATCCTGTTGGCTGTCTCTGGTTAATTCTCTTCTTACTCTGCCTCTCTGTTTCGGGGGAAACATATGTAGGTCTTTCAGAGGATTTAGGACTAATAGAGTCAAAAAGGCTGAATACAAATGTACACCAAAAGTAAAAACACTTTAGCAAGGCACTGTTTAGATGTCCTCGTGGCAACCGTATTATTGTGATTTTTCATCAGTTTATGTCTGTGCTGTGTTTTTTTTTTCTTCTTAGTCTTTCCTCAGCTCTACTTGCACATGCTGCGGCAGAGGAGGAGGGTGCTCCACGGTGAAGTCATAGTGGAGAAGGATGACTAGATGGGCACCACCTCATCCGTTGAGCCAGCCTGCCTCCACATCGCCCTCACCTGACCTCCGCTCCACCCGCTCACCCGCAACACATCTCACCTTTTCTTTTTGGCTGTTGGCATTCTTAACTGCACGGGACCCGAGAAGCAGCTGACAACCTGCCTGACAACCAGCAATGATGATGATGATGACGACGACGACGACGAAAACTTGGATAAATTCCTGTTTTGAATGGTTATTTGGCAAGATGTTTACAGTTCTGGAGTTGTGTCTCAGCTCTGAGAGATCTGGATTCCTTCATTCACCCACTGGCTTTACACCATCTCATTGCACCGAAGAGAAACTGAGCCACATCGCTGCGTCATGACAGGAAACATGAGAAGAAACGTGGAAGGAAGATTGTACGTTGTGTGCTCTGAATTGTCCCTCAGCCCAACTAATTGGCAGATTTAAAAAAAAAAAAAAACAACGTGGCTGCACAGATCATGGTTCAAAAAGTTCAACCATACCTCAACAATAAATCTACATTTAGACAAATGTGCTGCTGCTTTTGTGGATATTTGTTTTACCTTTTTGTGTAAATGATGCAATGTGAAATCTTAAACCACACACCGTCTCACTTAGAGCAAGCACAGCTCCAACTTAACTCTGTCTGCTTGGCTCAGCTAGTGCTTTATTTTAATATTTTGATGTTTACTGTGTCCACAAGACTTCCTAAGAGTCTTTGCAGAGGTAATAGTTTGTTAAAGAGCATTTTTAGATTTGTGTCAGCGCTCTGAGTCATCGTTCTGCGTCTCGTTTTGTGTTTTAACATGTCCATACTCGTAGAAAGGTAGCTAGCCTCTATCCTATTAAAGGTGCTATTAAGATCTTTTCAATCTTCTGTGCAGCTGAAGGAGTGACTGTGATTGGAGTTGACCTGAAGCAGGAAAGCTGGATGTGAAATGACCCGAAAGGAAATGTCGGTCAATGATCTGCATGGACTGTGGTTAATCAAAGCGAATCAACACTATTTGCTTATCATCTGGGTTAAAGAGGAGAAAACAAACACCAAATGTTAAATCTAATGGAAAGATATTTAAAAAGAAATGTGAAAATACCTTTTTGTGCAAAATGAATAAACTCAATCCTTCAACAGCGAAGAGAGTTTGTGATGAACTTCGGTTAAGCTGCGCAGAAATCAAACCACCGTTATGTTTTAATGGATTTATTGGTGAGGTTTTCCCTTCATTGTTTTGTAATTTAAACCTGAGTGCAGAAAAAAAGCACATTTTCTACAAGTAGAAAGGCTCAACATATGGGTTTTATTTATACTGAGGGTCCTAGAGATGAACCAGTCGACTGCCTTGACAGTAGGATCAGCCATTTTTTCCTTTATTCTCTAATTTTTGTTTGGCAGAGCAACTATTTAAAAAGAGGTATTTCTTCCTCATTCATTAATAGCATTTAAACATTTGTCTTTTAATGCATCATCCAAATGATGATGCAGGTACATCTCAGTAAATTCAAATGCCATTATATTTATTTTGGTTATGAAATACAGAACTTGATACTTTAGAATGTAAATTCATTACAGACAGTGGGGCATATTTCAGGCAATTCATTTTGTTAAATTAAAAATGTTGGTTTACTGATAATAAAAAGGATTTTAACTGAAACATTATTTGAAGTCCTAGCATATAGTGATGTGGAAAACTGCTGACTTGATAGCTGTCCTGCAAATAGTAGAAATCCTTTGGATCTAGTATGAGGAGGAAGGGAAAGTATTGCATCCCATGTTTTACTGGAAAGCTAAGTGGAAGGAAAAACTGGTAGAAAGAGGTGAGAAAGCAACAAGGATAACTAGAGCCTACAGAGGACTCTAAAGCAAAGTTCAAAAACCTGTTTGAGGCAGATTTCTGGGATGTGGAATAAGGCTGGAGTTAATGCTGCAAGAACCACCAGTTCCAGACATCCAGGAAACAAAATAACTCCTGAAGAACAGGAAAAATATCAGGATTGCCTTACATAAGTCAAGGAGAAAAGTGACAAGACTCTTTCTCCAGAGCCAGCAACGCAGCCGTCAAAGCTGCATGTGCTTTCATTACACCTCATCAAAACCACAGGATGATTATCTCCATGCCACGTTGTATTAATGTAGTATTTCTGCAATAGCAGCTGGGCTCAAGTACTAAGTTAAAAACTGTAGGACAGGGACAAATACATACATGTAATGTTTTTTTTTTTAAAGTTATTAAAATTATTATATAGAATTGCTTAAAATAAACCACTTCTGCAATGAATCTGCATGATCTTCACCTTCAAACCCAATAAATGAAACGTGCATATCACATTCTAATGTGTTAGGATGCAGCTTTACTGTGATGCTCTTGTTTGAGTTCAATAACAACCAGATAAAGATTTGGTACAAATGATTTTATGGCCAAATAAAAAGAATCTTATAATTACTTCTTATAACATTCAGAACTATTAGCTCCAGCAAACAACGTACAGCTTTTTTTTTTTTTTTCTCTCATATGTGCTGCAGTCCTTAGATTCACAATCGGCACATGAGACCTTAAAGAAGAAATTGGTGCCTGACTGAATTAGGCACCGATTAATTTGATTGTGGCATTTTCCTTATACATGTACCTTCATTATATTTGTATTTAAATGAAAATAGTACATACACATTCATGAGGTTAGATACATGTTTCGTTGAAGACAGTATGTCTGCTATGTGCTTTTTTTTTTTTTACTTATCATTTTGCACATTGTAATCTCTGAATTATACAAAATTACAATCCTTTTGACCTTTATAACCCTTACACTTCCCTATAAAACTTGGCTAATGAAACAAACATTCAGGTGTTTAGTTGTACAAGTACAGGTATATAACATGTTTTATATAGAAAAATCAGTTGTTGATTTTTTTTTAACAGTTTCTCCTCCATTTGGATGTCCTGCTGTATTGCACTTGCTGGTAATGATGCACTCGAGTCTCCTCGGAAGACACAGTTTCGGAAAAACCGCAGCCCCTGGACTCATTTCAAAATTGTCTCTTTCCGCTCTCCGTCCAGACTGTCCACAAGCCCCTTCAGTCAATCAGTGCTGCATGGACGAAGCTGAGCTGCTCGCCGCGCTCCTTTATTTAACTGCTATGATTTTGCTGTAAAGACAAAAACGAGAGCAACCCTTAAAAACGACTGCCTAAATAAATGCAGGTCAGGCTGCAAATACAAATCCAGACACTGAAGCAGACTTACAGGTCTCCAGTTCTTTCTCACAGATATAGCTAATGAGATCTTCACAGAAGAAATCGTTCCATAGACCTTCGTGGATTAGACCTGCACAGTCTTCCCCCGACTCATGGCTGTGGCCCCAGTTGTCAGGCTGGCCGGGCTTCCAATTCCTGCAAGTGGACAACAGGGGGCCACCACACATTATAATTACAACAGTCTTTATTTACAGTAACTGCACAGTGAGAGGCAGGTGGAAAAAGAGCACAAGTTTACCTCCGAAAAGAAATTTGTAATAAGAAAAGGAACATTTTTGGCTTCCGATTTGCAGTGTTAAGGATTTTTACATCACTACATTTAGCTTTAATATGTTTTTAGGGTCTTCTATATATTTTTATCCCCCCCTTTTTTTTTTTTTTTTTTTACATGTTCTATGTTAAGAGAATTGGATCACATTTTGAAATGGTTTTGATCTATTGTTTGAACTGTTTTGTAAAGAAAATTATGCCTTAGTTTTCAGTGAACAAGTTTAATCTTACATTTATAAATCATTTTATTGTGCTTTTTTTGTATTGGAATAAATGTTTAGCAGATAGTCTACAAATAAATTGTATTGGGATATTTGTGAAATTTCAGTATGCTGATTAAAATGGACTTAAAGCAGACCCTGAGAAGGTCACTTTAAAAGCCAAATCAGGAGGGTCAGAAACATAATAAATCACAAGGCTTACCTAGTCACGATATAAAACTTTAAACATACAACACCACTTGTACAATATATCAATGCCAAAACACACTTAATTAATTGGGATTACATCATTCTGGAAGCAAAGAAAGAAAAAAAACTCTGAATGTTGATTTAACACTGACGTGAACGCAGGAACTGTTCCATCCACCCAGCGCCACGCATTCTCCTCTTCTCTGTCCGTCAAACCCATCCAGAAGTAGCCCTTTCCAACTATTTGCCCCTCCAACCATTTCTACATGAGGGGAAAAATAAAACAGTCAGTCACAAGTTGAACTCGCAACAGCAGCTCTGTCTGTGTTTACAGCTGCTGACCACATATACACGTCACCTGTTCTTCCTTGTCGCTGATGATCAGCAACGTTGCCAGTTGTGATTCACAGTTAGCTTTTGAATCATCAAAACTGTCCAGGTCTTTGGAAAAGTAGTAGCACCTGTCGTTGTAGTTCACCCAACCAAGAGGGCAACCTGCAAAACGTTAAGAGATTCCATAAT